TGGGAGAACTTGCACAATTGGTGGCTGACTAAATACTTTTTTGCCCCACTGTATATAGAGTCTGTTTCCTGACCTAGTCTAACTCAAAAGGCTGAAAGTAGGTGATTGTAGATCGTGTATGTTGAGGTTTGAAAATATGCAAATCTTTGCATGTTCAGGCTACTTCAATTCAATGTCTACACTCGAGACTTTTCTGTATTGCAAATGGAAGAAACAGAAGAAGAGGAAGAGTGTTTGGCCCATCTGCAAGAACACTGAAGACCTGCTTTCAAGTAGCTTAGTGGAGATGCCTCATTAAGGCCAGCTTAATTTTCTGTGTGAATTTAACATTAGATAAGAGGCTACATGTATTTGGCCAGATGGAAATCAGATATCATATTCTTATCCCATTGAAAGAATAACACTGCACACTGAAGTGGAAAACTGATACGTTTGACAGGCAAGTCATACAAGAACATCTAAATATATTTTCAGTATTACAACTATCATTTGTTATGTATAAAGATAGTACCTAGATGTTTCCATGTCTCTTTTGGGGCTAGAGTCTCAGAAAGATGAAACACAAGTACTGATACTTGTGGTGATGAATTATATGGCTGTGTGGAGAATGGAACAGGGTCCATATCCTGCAGTGGGGCCTTTCCCCTGTGACCGATTCCAAGCAGTGTTAATTATCTTTGTGATGGATGGAGATATAATTTTCTTTTTGCAACTGCTTTTTCCTAAAAGATTCAAGAGCTTCCTGAATTCCCATTCCAGCCTGAAGGGGAAAACATGATCTGCTGACTAAAAATCTCACATATTTTATTCCTCTCTAGGCAGACTTTAATCCTAGAATTACAAAGTCAACAAGAAAATGAAAGTAGTAAACAACAGTAGAAAAAAGAATTTGGGGCATTTCTGTTTTGTTGGATGTTTTAGACAGATGAGGCTCCCAGTATTAAAAAGAGGGAAAAACAATCAAGTATTAGGAAAAAGAGAAAGTTAAAACAGAAATTTAAAAAGTGTGACATAAAAAAGTTATGTATCTCTCTCTAGATAGAAACATGTATTTTAATTTTGAGAAGAGCAGAAAAGGAAAAATGAAGAACTTCCTTTCCAGAGACAAAGTAGCAAAGCTTTATAATTCCTGTAAATAATAACCACTCCCATTAATAAAAAGCCAAATTGGAGATAAATGCAACTTGGTTAATCCACTAAATCTCATAGGCTGTGGCATAGTTCCATGAACAAAAATGACTGGGTTTGAACCACAGACTAAGCTAAAATGTAGTTATTTGGTTTGTGTTTTTGAGTATTGTGAGAATCTAGATGTTGATTCAGAATGCTGTGTGAACTAGACCATTGCATTAAGCAATAGGGAGGCATATTTCATAGCACATTAGGTAAACATAGTAATTTCATTCTGCTAAACCTGGTTTAAAGATTTATCGGATTGTATAAGTCACTAAATGAGGCTGTCCCACTGACTGTTGCAAAACCGCTGAAGAAACTAGTGCTCATTTGTAGTAGAAAATCTGTAGTTAAATACATAGACCAACCAATAAAAAGTACACAGAACAATTCATGTATTGGAAAACACAAAGTCCTACAGGCAGGAAAGATCATGGGGGGTAGATAGTTGAGAGATAAATTATTTACCTCTAATTATGGTACTGCAGCTTGAATACATGAGGTTAAACTCCATAGTAAGCTGCCAGGCGCTCTTTTAGAGGAACAGGAAACTGGTCAGAGAAACGCCTCCAATTTTCATCTCCAACTTGATTTTTAAATCCATGAAGGATCTGAAAATTAACTGAAAGTTAACTTTTTTCAAAGACAGACTACATTTGAAAAATAAATTATTTAGTTAGCTATGAATTAAAGGCACAGTGCCCAAATATTAGAGACTTGTAAATCCTTTGGAAGATACGTTTTGGAATGCATGAGAACACATACAAAGCACCTCTTTTCGGATTGTTAAAATGGTTAAATCCACATCTTTTTGCAGACTCGTGTAGCTGTTTAGCAGCTGCTCTTAGTTATCCCTGCATGCATATGCAAATAGAGCCACTCTGCTTTACATATATTATAACAAATTAACAGCAAAGACGTAACAGTATATTTGCAATATAATGTAATATCAACATGAATAATAAAAAGAGAAAAGGGACAGAAACAGACCAATTCCAAAAAATAGTATTTAATTGTCCATTTATCAAAAATAAATGAAACAAACTCAAATGTTAACAAGTGACATATTTTAACAATCCATTTTTAAAAATCATACGGACATTTCCCTCTTTTTACTGGTCCATGCCCAAAAGTCCACAATTCTTGATCTTTTGATGAAACCCAAATTCTGGGTTTTAGCAAGAAGCCATACACAACTATCATCCAGAATCATATTAACGTATTTTTAGCTTAAGATATGTAGCAGTAATAGGACAAGTCTAAACCATATGAGTTAATGTCCAACTTCTAAATTTCATCCTCAACAGCAATAAAATGGCAATCGAACCTTACTAAAATTCTATGAAGTGCCAATATATATGAAACAAAATGTTTCATTGTATTTTATTGCATTTTAAGATCTAAGACCATTATTCCAGAGGTTGCATAAATAATCAGTTTCATAATATTTATTTATTTATTTATTTATTTATTGGCTTAGAAAGATAAACTCCAATCATTGTGGAAGTCTAATGTTAACTATAATGTACTTCCCCATTATTTTGATGCTGAAATATAAGCAGCTTAATGGTAAAAGAGTGAAAATTATATTAGTATGTCAATATTTTCTATAAATATCTTACAGCACTAAGAACAAGTATTAAAACTGATTCCAACATCAGCAAGGATTCAAATGCTTGTCAAAATTTCAGAGATAAATAGATAAGATAAACAAAGGGATCTAAATTTTAAACATAATTTAAAACCCCAATCCATACACTTGTCAGAATTCCTGCTATGACCCAGTGACTTTAGGTTAAATTTAGAGAATGAGAAAGGATAACAAATTGGTATTTCTGCCCTATCATTATATCATATCATTTTATGCTGAGCCTCTCACTGCAATTCTTTTACTTTCAGAATGTATAATATTATAGGCAAGAGGCTGTAAAGCGAGATTAAAAAGAAAAGGAGAAATAGAGAGCAACAATTACTAATTATTTTACAATTATTAATTACTTGTCATTTAGGGACATATCAATCCAAAGTACAAAACTTTAGGAAAACCCAAAGTATGTCAAAACCTCTAAACTTCCAAGAAACTGTTATCAAGTGTTCTTGGCATCTAAAGAAATAGCAGCTGCTTGATTTGTCTACTGAGGATTAAAGAAGATTTTAATTTAAAATGTGAAATCTAAAATTGTTAGAGCTTTGCATGATCCTGTATAAATCTAGCCTCAACTACATTAACAATAGGTCAAAGCAGTTGTTAAAATGTTAGCATCCTTTATTTATCACGAAAACAATTCTATAACTAGAACACATAGCAGGATCTTTCCCTGGTTGGGGCATAATGAAGCATATATCCCATCATCTATTGTTGAATAACTGAAATTATACAATTTGGAACAAAATATTAAGAACTGTTAATTAATAGATCTAGATTCTGTATACACTTGTCTGTGTGTATTCTGAACAAATGATAAAATATTTCAATGCATAATAGGCGGTTTTCAAATGTTCCTCTTAGCAATAGAGTCTTGGAATGATGAACACGAAGTAAGAATTATTCTCCTATGGACTTAGATGAATCTCTTTTGTACACATATATAATTGCTCCAAGCTCTTCAATATGGAAGACTAGCGTAATAATGGAATCTTTCATTTAACTGTTCTAATGTGTCCAGGGAATGTGAAGGACTTTCTGGGCCATCACAAGTCATGACAGTCCCACAGAAAGAAGAAATGAAAGGAAAAGTTGAAGGAAAAAAGTGAAGAGAAATGGAGACAAAAAGTAAACAGTAAAATTTCTCCAGGAGCTCTTACCAAAATAGGTAGCACCAAGGAACTGGTGGGAAAGTGCTGTTTGCTGCCACCTAGAGCTACAAAAAAAACATTCTTTGGTCTTGCCTATTGGTGCAAGGGGAAAAGCAACCCAGCTAAGGAAATCTTTTAGCAACTAGTGGGGAAAAAAATAATGCAATCATCCCTAATGATAGATCCACACACAGAAATTATGTACAGCATTTGCACGTTACCAAAATACAGTAGTCAGGTACTATTCAAAACACTCTTACCTCACACTTTTAAAAATAATATACTCCTTTGAAAAAAGTTATTACCTTACAGAACATGTCTCGGAGATCATCTTTTGGGCTAATCCATGATGCAACAGCATCACAAAAAAATATAAAGTCCTGCAAATGTTTATAGAAATTGTAAATTAGAAAGGTCCACTTACAAATGAACAGAAATGCAATAAATTATTTCAAAAATAAACCTTATACTCTTCTGCCTCACAATTTGAAATATCAGAAATAATTCTAAATAAAATGCAATTATCTTTCATACTGATATCTTATATGCCTAGAACATTCCCTTTTCAAAACTTTAGTCAGCTCATATATACAGGTAGTCCCTAGTTTAAGAACAAGTTCTGTTCCCAAGGTCTCTCCTTAAGTCAAATTTGTACTTAGCTGGAACAGTATTATTGTATAATACTGCGTAAGTAGTACTGTGAAATTAACTTGAACCATTGGTATATTTAACTCGAATCATTATGTATTTAACTTGAATTTCACTAGAGTAGGCTCTGTTCTTAACTATGGGTTGTCCTTAAACTGGGTGTTCTTAACCCAAGGACTACCTGTATTTGTTTCTTTGTTAATTAATCAAATTTGATTATTCAAATATTCAAAGGGGTTGAATCTTCTTAGTATTACATATTTCAGTTTGTGGAACCCCCATTCTTCCTGAACAATTAAACCGTTTCCTACAGAGATGGAAACACCAAGTTCCTCCGCTTGCTAATAAGGCTTGCCCCATTCAGTTCTTTGCAGGAAGTAGAAATACGGAAAAACAATTCCATATTCCTTTGTATGAACGATCTGCTTCTTTTCTTCAAAAGAATGGGATAATGGAATAATACATAATGGAATCCATACAATATTTTTTATCAGAATAAGTAGCTGAATTTAATTTAGAATATGCATTGATAGTTTATGATAGGAAAAGTGTGTTGTTGCTGTCTGAGGCATTTGATCTAGAAGTAAGTTCCACTGACATCAAACTAATACAAATGCAATTGTTATTCTCTATTTACAGAAACGAAAATAGGAGGAGTTGTTTATCTCATTCCTACTCCCAAAAGAATGACTTTGGAAGTGGGACTGAATGAAAACTCTGGAATGTGCATGAAATCCATGGACTGAGAACCTCCTTTATATGTGGACACTGCTATAAGCGAGTGAGAACAAAGCACTGGTAATGGGTTCTCTGTCTGTCCGCCTCATTTCGGTGCTCGCCTTCTATAGTTAGGAAATTCCTCCTCTGCTTTCCCTTGAACAGGAGTAGATTTTTGTAGGATTTTCTAATGACTGAACAAGATTAGGTCATAAGCATACCTACCTGGAGTAAAAGCCACTGAACTCAACATGACTTACTACTGAGTAATTGATGCTTGCAGAGTCTAAAGAAATTGATGCTTGCAGAGTCTTAGTAATTGATGCCTACTTAAACTTTCTGCAATTAGTCCCTCCCTCCTTTCTTTCCCTACCCAGCATCATCTTCATCCTCTTTTGTTCTACACCTTCTCCTTTTCTCCTATCTCG